CTCTCTCTCTCTCTCTCTCCCTCTCTTTTTCTCTCTCTCTTTCTCCCCCCCTCTCTCTCTCCCTCTCTCCCTCTCTCTTTTTCTCTCTTTCTCTCCCCCTCTTTTTCTCTCTCTCTCTTTCTCTCCCTCTCTCCCTCTCTCTCTCTCTCTCTCTTTCTCTCTCTCTCTCTCCCTCTCTCTTTTTCTCTCTCTCTTTCTCTCCACCCCCCCTCTCTCTCCCTCTCTCTCTCTCTTTTTCTCTCTCTCTCTTTCTCTCCCTCTCTCTCTCTCTCTCTTTCTCTCCCTCTCTCTCTCTTTTTCTCTCTCTTTCTCTCTCTCTCTCCCCCCCTCTCTCTCCCCCTCCCTCCCTCCCTCCATCCCTTTATTTCAACAGTAACCAAGATGACTACCAACTTGTGCGGAAACTCGGTCGTGGCAAATACAGCGAAGTCTTTGAAGCCATCAACATCACCAACAACGAGAAAGTGGTGGTGAAAATCCTCAAGGTGGGTCAGTCGGCATCTTCCCGTTTGGGGGGGGGCCTTCCAGGGCAGGGGACGTCCCTTCACCCAGGCCACAGGCGGGGTGGGTCCAGGGTTCGAGTCTCACCTTCGCTCCCGAATGGGGTTGATCATAACAGTACTGATGCCAAGAATTAACAGAATGACAGAGCTGGAAGGGACCTCGGAGGTCATCTAGTCCAGCTCCCTTCTCAGGCAGGAAGCCCACTGCTGTTGCCGACAAGTAACTGTCCAGTCTCTGCTTGAAAACTTCCAGTGTTGCAGCACCCACAACGTCTGAAGGCCACTTCTGTCCCACTGATTATATTGATCTGGGATTATAGAATGACAGAATAGAAGAGCTGGAGGGGACCTTGGAGGTCATCTAGTCCAACCCCCTGGGTCAGGCACGGAACCCTGTACCACATCAGATGAGTGGCTTTCCAGTCTCTCCTTGAAAGCCTCCAGGGTTTGTCCAGCAGCCACAACCTGGAGGTTTTCAAGAAGAGACTAGACCAAGGGTAGGCAACCTCGGCTCTTTTATGACTCGTGGACTTCCAACTCCCAGAATTCCTGAGCCAGCATGGCTGGCTCAGGAATTCTGGGAGTTGAAGTCCACGAGTCATAAAAGAGCCGAGGTTGCCTACCCCTGGACTAGACAAACAAAAGTTACCAGAAGTGAGCAAAAGTTTCAAGCCAGCCTGGGGATCTGCTGCTAAAAGGCAGCCCGCCTGCCGGCTACGTCTTACATAACGTTGTCCTGCTTGTGGTCTGGTTTAAATGGCTTTTGATTGGTTTGGGAGTAGGGTTTAAGAGCAGGTGTAATTGCACGCTGGCCAGAGTCCGTTTTGCGTGAGGTCGGCACTCACGTCACTTTGCCAAATGAGTAAAACAGCTCTGCAGTGCCTCGACCTCGGGGGGGCTCCCCCTGATCAAGCCGACTGCGCTCTGCCCTTTCCAGGGGCTGCAGAGCTGCTGCCCTGGGTGTGTGTGGGGGGGGGAAGTGTGGGTGAGAAAGGAAAGCAGGAGGATGCAATATGGATCCCCCCCCCAGTGCCTGGGCCGCAGTGTCTGAGCAGAACCACAAGCCCGGCCAGAGTGAGGGGGTGTGTGGCAGTGTACCCCGTTCCAGGCCGAGAGACCCCGCAGCCCGGCGGTTACTGCACGCCTTCTTTCTTTTCAGCCAGTAAAAAAAAAGAAAATAAAGCGTGAAATTAAAATCCTGGAAAACCTGCGGGGAGGACCTAACATCATCAACCTTCTAGACATCGTCAAGGACCCCGTGGTAAGCGGGGGCGGGGGGAGGTTGGGGGGCTGCTGGCAGTGGGAGGCCCAGTCCCGCCCGGTGCAGGGCCACTTCCCTCTGTGTCCAGAGTGGCAGCCCCCCCAGGCATTGGGGACGCGGGTAAGGGGAGGCTGCTCGAGACCCTAGACCAGAGGTAGGCAACCTTGGCTCTTTTATGACTCGTGGACTCCAACTCCCAGAATTCCTGAGCCAGCATGGGGAAAACTATGGCCCCCTCATGGCTTGTGGACTTCAACTCCCAGAATTCCTGAGCCAGCATGGGGGAAACTATGGCCCCCTCATGGCTTGTGGACTCCAACTCCCAGAATTCCTGAGCCAGCATGGGGGAAACTATGGCCCCCTCATGGCTTGTGG